ACCAGAAGTGGGGCATGGCTCAATGGAAGAGCACTTGCCTTGAGCTGAAGAGCTCAGGGACAGTGTCCAGGCCCAGAGTTCAAGCCCCACAAAAAAAAAAAAAAGAATTTGATCAGCCAGGCCTTGGTGGTTCACACCTGTAATTTTAGCTATTCAGAAAGCCAAGATCTGAGAATTGAAGTTTAAAGCCAGCCCAGCCAGAAAAGTACATGAGACTCTTATCTTCAACTAAGCAGCAAAAAGCTGGAAGTGGAGCCATGGCTCAAGTGGTAGAGTGCCAACATCAAGCAAAAAAAGCCAAGAAAGAGAGTAATGCCCTGATTTCAAGAGAAGAATTTGACCATATTGAAAACATACACTATATTCTTAAATATATAGATGTGTATATATTTATATCCTTTAATATATTCTTAATACTCTTAACTTCTTACTCTTTGGTATTACAGAGTTGCTTTGGGTTTTATTCTTGTTGTTATTCAGTAAGTATATAATGCACCCCTAAAATTATTTATTAATTAAGACACATGTAACACATGCCTAATATGTGCCCATAGTCTGCTAAGTATCCTGGGAAAAAAAATGGAGATTTCAAATTATACCATAGAGGAATTTACACAGCACTTGAGAAGTATGTACAAAAAAGATAAGAGCTCAATATACAAGTAAGTCCCCAAAATTCAGCCAATACATTCTTGCCTGAGGGGATTATGTTTTGTTTTTTTAAAAAACAACAACAATAAAAAGGTATGATGCAGTAAGTAAAATGTGATCAAGTCTTGGAGAATAAATAAAGTTGACTGGGCAGAGGAAAAGAAAGGTCCTTTCAGGTTGGTGAATAGCTTGAGTCAAGATATAGAGGTAAGAATAATTTAAGTATATTCAACAATCTATCAGTTAGGACTATTTTGATAGCAAGTGAAGAAAACCCAAACTAAACTGGCTTAATCTCAATGGAAATTTATTAGGTTACATAACCAGAAAGGTCCATGGGAGAGATATGGCTTCTTGATAAATGGAGTAGATACTCAGTCAAAGCTTAGTTTTTCTCTCTGTTCTTCCACCCTGCTACCCTGAGTCTTGACATCATGTGGTACCAGGATGTAATAAGCAGCTCCAGGCCTATTGTCCTCTCAAAACTGGGATTCATTGTAAAGATGAAGTCACAACAAGAGTTCCAACACATTCCACCACAAACTAGGTTGTACCCATCCTGAGTGAGTCATGAGTATGGAGAAATGCAGTCAGCTCAGGCTTGTTCCTCAACCTGGCCCTGCCCCAAAGATGAGAAGGTCACCTTCACTGGATTCACTATGGGAATAGAGTGATGTCTAAAGGGAAATTAAGATACAGTTCATTTAAGTAAGCAGAGTAACAGGTCATCTGTCCTAGAAGCCCCAATGTCCATTGAAAGAAGACAATGAGCCTACTAATGTCAAAGAATCATTTTCAGTAACAACGAGAACTAGACATTGGAAATTTTTATTGCAAGTACAGTATCAGGGCTAGGACAAGAAATTAGATTTTATGAGGAAATTGTGAATAAATTGGACTTTCTGCAAATTGACCTGTCAGCGGTGTGCAGAATGTACTGAAGGCTGGATACCCCCGCAAGATACAGGTGACCTCTGCTGGACTTCCCCATATTTCAAAAGCCACAGAGCTCATAGAGTATCTGTTAGGTGCTATGAATGGTAGAGAACAATGAGATAACTCCAGGACTTGATCAAAGAGTCCACAAGGTGGTGAGGAAAGCAGCTGATCATATGGGAGGCAAGGCACATACACAGGACTACTTATAGGAACCGAGAAGGAAGAAACCCCTAAGGTGAACTAAGGTGGGACAGTAGTGAGTCTGGCTCAGGGAGAGGAGTCACCCTCTGACACATCTGTAGGGGCAAATGAGTTGGGAACATTGGCCATTTGCTGCAGCCTCTGAGACTATTTAGAATATCTACCTGAGTAGACTACATCTCAGTCATGAGCCTTAGCTCTCCCTAGGAATTTGTAGACCCTGAAATTCAGAATAGGTTGAATTCAGTGGATCCTGACTTTTTTTCCTAAGAATTTTTTCTTTCTTTCTTTCTTTTTCCTAACCAGTAATGTGGGAACATCCTTGATTTTTAGCCTTTGATTCTGCCTGGGTACATTTCTCTCCCCAACCAACATTGGATGAAAACAGGAGTGATATACTGGCTCCAGGGTCTCTATTTTATTCTATTTCAATAGATTTCGGAGTAAATAAGAGGAGTGAGTTCTGTTTTTAGCACGGTAACTGTGGGAAAGTCTCTCCACACCTCAGTTACCAGCCTGTAGAGACACTGAGTTGGACAAACAAGCTTTATAACACCTCTTTCAAGAGTCGATCAATTCAATAGAAACAACTACCTTTATTCCCTTATTTCATGACATGTGGTTATGGCCAACATGTCTTTCCAAAAACAAGTGTCATAAGGACACAGGAGAACCATTCAGCAGAAAGTTTGGGAGTGTGGAAGTTCATTGAAAAAGGGGAACATTCAGAAAGCTGTTAGCTGGGAACACTGGTAGAGAGGCAGAACTAACTTTAAATGGAGACAGGGAGCAGGGCAAGGGGTTCTAGACAGAGGGACAAGCAAGGCAGAGCATATGATTGCCCTTATAAGGATTTGAAGAAATAAAAATGGAAAGGAGGGTTATGGGACTGTCCATTCAGAGGCTTAATATGAATGCCAATAGCACCTTTGTAAATTGAATTATGACATTTATCAATGTGACCTGAAAGAAATGATTAAATAATCATAAATATCATAAAATTGTAAGTACAAACCAAGAATTATTATGGATGAATAGCTTCAGAAACCTCAGCAAGAGCCAAAGGTAGATGTCAATTTAAACAAGCCAGTTAATGAATCGTTGAATGCATTAACCATCAAAACCAAGCTCAGAGATAAGTTGTAACAAGGGCTTCATTTTGCATTGCTTTCCTCTGATCTGCAGTTACTTTGTAAGTAAAACTATCAAAATGTACAGGAATAGCAGAAGACCTTATATTTCTGGAAGCCTTGGCTATTTAGACAGCATGTCAGTGTCCAGGTTTACCTACAGCACGCTGTAAAATGATGAAGGAATGATCCCCTCACTCCATATTTAACAGATGAGTGAACAGAATGAATGGTTCACACAGCCAGCCACAGACAGAGCAGGCACAAAATTTCTGACCACAGTCCTGTGTGCTTTTCTTCCTCACCTCTGACTGTCTGTGTCCACTGCAGAGAATTCAGTCCAACCCCAATGAGTTATTTTATTCTGCCTCAAGAAGGTAGAAATAGACATACTTTTTATGACCAGGAGAAGAGTTTATATTACCCTTGGATTAACTACAGAATGCTTTTTTATGTAAGTCAGACTAAATAGACATCTGTTTTCTACAAACATTCAATTCCATACAAACAGAACATTTTCAGTTTACTTTGAAAGCAAAATACCATGTGTTATAACTTTACAATGTTTTAAATAAGGTTAGGAATTTAGGTTTATGACACTGAAAATTTCATAAAACTGATGGCTATAAGACCAAGAATTATATACACTACACAAGGGTCCTTAAAAACTCGACAAGCCAAGAGCCAAAGGTAGATATTTCAGCAGAGCAGTGATTGAATCACTGTGTTAGCAATCTAGCGAAGCTCGAAGTGAATTATTGAAGTTTATCACCCTTATTGGTTTGTAACACTCTTATTCAGTGTGTGGATAGTTTTTAAAGTAGAACAGCTCAGCCTAACGAAGCCATTTATTGTGCTGGTTCTACGTACTGTCTCTATTGCTCCATTTATTACTTCATTTTGGAACTTTGATTGCTCTATTTTAGATCTAAGAGCATTCTAATGCTATACTGCAACTGTATAAGGGGCTTAGTTTTCACTTTGTTCTCAGAACCAGGCTAGCTATAAATTTATCTCAGTTCTTTGAAGAAGCCCACTGTAAATTTTCCAGAGGAAAAATGGCGGCAGAGATCCCAGTCCAGGAAAAATAATCTCTTAAAAGCAGAATAACCTTCAGGCTACGTCCTCTTAAACAGGGACTTTCAAACAAGGACGCCTTCAACTTTTATGTGTTCTATATTTCTCTTCAGGTTTTTGTACCTGTTCTGCTGTCTGTGTGAGGTTTCGCTGTAATGACCCTATTCCTCCCTACACCCATTAAATCCGAGATGAAGTCATGCTGGTCCCCATTCTGCTGTTGTAATAACTTCCAGAACTGTATTCAGATAGCACATCCTGGGTTTCCTCAGGAAAATGAGGCACAGAGATTGAAAATAACATTACTCACCAAAAGAACATCTCAGTTCCATACACTGCCACAGACTGACAAAAATGAACCTTGCAAAGTGAAATGCATTGGACAGTCTCAATTTGGGTTCATTGCATTCAAAACTTGGGGTTTGATTTCAGGCACTGGTTTCATTCAAATTAAACCGAACCTCCCCAGAGGTTCAGCCACCCTCCCTCACCAATTGATAAGATCATTTAGAAGGAAAAGATGCTAAAGATTGGGTGAGCTTGTGGCCCTGTTTCAGTGTCTTACAACATCACCGCCTTTCACCTTTATTATTCAGCGGCTCTGAGTCAAGTGTTGACCACTGTGGCCTGTGAAGCATTACTACGTATCACTGCCAAACGTCTTTGGCTCCCATGGACCAAAGGAGTGGCTCTGGCTAGGCTGGGAGCCAGCAAGGGTAATAGATGTGGAGGTGGCAGAAGTCTGGGTAGAGTCCCAAAGTGTGACATCATCCATCCTGCCTGTACCTAAGGGCTTCTTGACCAGTTCCCCATTAAGAGCTTCCTTTGGGAGTATAGGAACTTCCCAAGAGTGGTTAATTGTGAACCAGAGTGAGCCATAATGGGGAGGTTAACTTGACCAAGCTTATTGTTATTTTTTTTTTCTTCTCTCATAAAGTACTAGAAAAGAATGCCTTTTCCCTCGGCCTAATTGTCCTCTTTCTCATTTTATGCCCCTGCTAGACCACCGCTCTTGATAAGGAGAGGCAGGTTTTCCGACGAAGACGCAACCAGGATGTGAGAAACCGGTTCAAGGCCCAACCAGCCCCTCCGGAGCTCAACTCAGAATCTGAAGACTACTCCCCCAGCTCCTCCGAGACTGTTCGCTCCCCCAACTCACCCTTTTAATGAGATCCTTTTACTCAAAGTCCTGGCTTAACCCTTTGAGACTCTGAGATTTTTTTTCAACCCCTCCCCCCAAAAAAGTTTTTTTTCTGTAAAAACAGTTTCATCTGATCTATCTAGCCCTCAATGCCGGAACGGCAGAGCAAGAAATGTGTTTTGGGGTACCTTTGTAGCGATTTCCTACCAATAGACATGGCATGTGGTGTTTTGGGAAGATGGTCATTTGCTGCTCATCTGGTCCTCAAAGGGTTAAGGTCAATTTGCATTAAAACACGCACACACATGCACACCACACACACACGCACACCACACACACACACACACACACACACACACACACACACACACACACACACAGAAGGAATAAGTGTGTTCATCAGTCAAGCTAGGATCTGCAGTGTGTAATATAGCACACGAACCCTCTGAGTACATAGAATTTTATGGTAAACTCTTCCTTGCTGGGGAGTTTTTCAAGCACTATTTCTAAATTTTACTGCAGATCAAGGGGTGTTATGAAGATACCAAAATGTCTAGATAAGAAGGGTATCTAGAATTTTTCTCTTGCTTATCCTTTGCTGTGAGTTTAGAACATGAGATAGGTTTATAACTCCAGCATATATTCAACCCTGTTTCCTAGAACACAGATCCTATAAAGAAAGGGAATTTTTGCTTTAGAAGTATAAAGGACTTCTGTATAATAGAGCTCTCCATCTGGAATGGAGGGAATTGTGTTTCTGGCAGCCTAACCCAAGAAATGGACAGTGCTCCCCCCCCCCCCCGGAATTGTCTCCAGGTCGCCCCAGAAATGCTGCTTTTTACATCTACTGCTGCTGCTAGTACTGGTGCGGACCTATCACAGTTTGTCTCCTACCTGGGGAGCAAAGGTCTGTCTGCTCATGATCAGACATGGACAGGACAGACACAAGCAGTGGGAAAGAGCAATACATCACCAGGTGCTGTGGAGGGCTGGAATTTCAAATAGAAAGAGGGAACATACTTCTGTGCTTTTTATTTATTTTTTTTCACCTACCTTTTTATTCGTGATACCGCAGCCATCAGTGTGAAACCCTTTCAGAGTATGAGGTCCATTCAGTGGAGAGCTGGGGCAAAAAGGAGGCAAGAGGCAAGGGCTTTGTAAGGTAGTTGAGGGGAAATCACAATGAGAACACAATCTAGAATGTTCTAAAAAGGAATTTAAAGAGATAAAACCAATTCTGCCAGCACCTTTAGGTTGTAGTCTCCCAGGAAGAACAGAATAAAACACCTGGAAGACACCCCAGAAGATGAGAATATATATAATGTCACTGTCTTTAGTGTCTTTAGCTGTTCAGGAAGACATACTGTTTTTCTGTCTCTGGGACAAATTCTGTCCAAGGCCCATATTTTCACTCCTGTTATCAAAATTGCCTCTCTAGGCCTGTGTCTCCTGGCTTGAGTTTCTTGTAGAGTGTATCAGATTTCAGAATGTAGGGCTGCTGCTTCCTGTTTATTATGGCAGTGCTCAGAAAGTATATAGGGGGTCTAACTCAAATGACCTCCTAAGGTTTCCTCGCTTTGTAATCCAAGAGACAACAGTAATTGATATCTCATGGAATTTGTGCCTGAATGGTGAAACAGTAACTCATTTTTTCTTCAATTTTTCATATATTTTAATGTCCAAGAGTCTTGAACAGCTTTTCTCAAGTCAGATCTTTCTTTTCCAACTCACATTGGTCTTCAAACCTTAATCTAGGTCCTATATTCATGTAGACTTTTAAAATCATAACCTATGATTCATTACTTTTGCAACACAGACTCCCAAATTGTCTGCTCTTCCACATTAAAAATAAAACAATTATTTAGGGATTTCCCCCTCCCCACTTAGGGATCCAAAAATGGTAACACATAAAAATCAGTTTAGCTACTCAGGAAACTGAGATCTGAGGATCACTGTTCAAAGCCAGCCTGGGCAGGAAAGTATATGAGACTCTTATCTACAATAAACTACTCAAAAAAAGCCAGAAGTAGTGCTGTGGCTCAAGTGGTACAGTGTTCACCTTGAGCAAAAGAAGCTCAGGGACAACACCCAGGCCTAGAGTTCAAGCCCCAGGACTGGCAAAAAGGAAAAAAAAAAAATCACAAAGTAGCATAAATCCGCAAATTAAACTGGATGTTTTTCTTTGTGGGGAAGGGAGACTCAGAACTCCAAGAAGGATGTCAGGTATGTAGCTGAGTTCCATGGTAGTGAAAGACACTGAGTTAACTGGACATTATTACTTTCTCTGGAGCTCAAAAGCAAAGCACCACGCTTAAGGTTAAGGAGTAGCTATACAGTTTAGCTTCAACTCTATACAAATGTAACTATAAAAAAATCTTATGGAGATTCTTTATATAAGTAGAAACCCGCTTATAGTAGATTGACATTTTCCTTCCTTTCTCTGAATGACAACTTTATTCTTGGACATAATATGTGTTGCTCAAGTATCCAGTGTACAAGACCTAAATTGCATAGCTCAGGCCTTTTTCCAGGGACACCTAAGGGAACTCAACAGTGTTTCTCAGCACACTATGCAGTAGCAGCTCAGAAGAATGCAGGACCCATTCAGCATGAGACTCCCAGCACAAAGCTGTAGAATTTGAGTGATCTATGCTGAATAAACAGTGGAATGTGACCTGTCAAGTAGAAATATTGAGTAATCAGATGGAATGCAATGTTTTCCAGCATCCAGCTACTGAGATCTTGAATGTCAGAGATGTACTCAGAGGGTTAACATACAAGCACAAGGCATGCTGATGATGTTGGTGTAGCCAGATTGCTTTGCTTTTAGCTAGTGCTTTCTGATTTTTTTTTTCTTCAACATTCTTGGGACAGTTCAAGTTTGAAATAATTAAGTGGTGGTGTTCTTTAAAGGATTTCTATAACCAAATTGGTCTTATTTTTATTTTATTTATCATAGAACAAATATGTTACCATGATGGCAGTGTATCTCTGTAATTATCAATTTAATCATTGCCACAAGTGTTTTCATATTTTTTTCAGGTACTTAATATAGCTCTTATGGTGGTGGGCTGGTGATGGGATTGTCTTTCCTTTACTGACTTAGGACAAACCATATGGTATTTTCAAGGGAATTTTAAGATTCATCTTTTCAGTTTGATAGTAGACTAGTTAAGGAAGAAGCTTCATTACTTACATCGTATAAATCATCTCTGTAGGTGAGAACTGTTCATATTAATGAACACATTTTTTTCTCAACATTGTAGCAGAAATCATTTTATTCATCATAATCAATGGGTATGTAATTTGCTCCAGATCATTAGAAGGAAACGTAAGATTTCAGTCATTGAAAATGTTTTTAACCATAGCCCTCATCTAACTTACACGTGGTGCATATTAAAAATAAGCAGAGAAAAAAATGTGAATAAACTACTGAAAATACTTGGTGTTTTGTATTCAATGAAACTTTACCACACCCTCCTTAGCCACCCACATGGGAGGTGGTTAACAGGCCCATCAGATATTGTTGAAAGAAAGCAATATATCCATGAATGAAGGCTGAAATTGCAATCCTTTACCCTTTGAGGCATATTTCAGTTGGAATTTTAAAAAGAAAAGAAAAGAAAAATTGACTTAGAGGGTCATAGAGCTACTATCAGGGCTCAAGAACATTAAATCACAGTTGTTTGCTGGCCAAAGGCATCTGTTAGACAACTCTCTCCCCTGTGTTGAAGAGCAATTTTGCCAAGGGAGAGCTTTCTTAATATTATTGTGTTGCCCCTAGCCCTTCTCTAGGTAAGGATCTGTCAGCATTTTCATGATAAACTCCTATTCTCAGAGGTTTTTAATTTGACCATGAAAAATGTGCCCCAGGCTGAAGTTTGCTATTTAGGGCCTGAATCAAAGAATGAACTTTCACCTCCCTCTCTTACCAACTTCTTTCCAATTCTTCTGAGAAAAGAACAAAAATAACAACAACAACAAAGCTAGACTATGTCTTACTGATTTCAGAATTTTGGACAGCACCAAGATCCCAAAATTTCAATATAATGAGTTGTTTCAATGTGTTTTTTCTTAATGGGCCATATTCATATATTGCAGCTAACACATTTTCTTACCTTTGTGTGGGGGTATGTGTCAGTTTGTGTGTATGCACGTGCACACAAGCACATGATACTATAGCATGAGTTCAGGGCCTGGGTGCTGAGCTGTCCCTTAGTTTTTAATCACTCAAGGTTGGCACTCTACCACTTGAGTTATATCTCCACCCCCAAACTTTTGTGGCTAATTGAAAATTAAGAATATCACAGACTTTCCTGCCCAGGCTGGCTTCAAATCATGATCTTCAAGTTTCAGCTTCCTAAGTACCTAGGATTATAGACATGAGCCACCAGTATCTGGCTTTCCTTACATATTTTCTAAGTCATTATTTTTAAAAAAATGCTACATGAATACTCAGGCACCTAGCTACCCAGGAGGCTGAGATTTGAGGATCACAGTTTGAAGCCAGCCCAGGCAGAAAAGTCTGTGAGATTTTTATCTCCAATAAACTACTCAGAAAAAGCTGGAAGTGGAGCTGATGCTCACATGGTAGAATATTAGCCTTGTACAAAACCACTCAGGGACAGCACTCCGGCCCTGAGTTAAAGTGGCGGTACTGGCACATATGCAAACACATGTGCATGTGTGCTCTCATGTGCAAGTGTGTGCACGTGTGTGCACAAGACATACACACACACACACTCATGAATTTTTAAACTGGAAATTATTCAATTAAAGGACAGCCTTTCCCAAGTGTTGTCTGCCTTTCCCATTAGGAATTGTGGGGAAAATTCTCTAAAATAAACCTTTATTTGGCATGAGGTATAGAAAGACAGATCCATGCTTCTTCATTAATAAGGATTTTCTAACTTAATCATTGAATTTCATGATGCCATTGTAGCCTGTCAAGGAAAACAACAATTGAAATCTCTTCCAAATTTAACACTTTTGTCAATTCAGATACAAGGAGGGCATAGCATGACACTCCACAGTTTTTTGCTTAGAGGTAAATGAATCAATGAAACTTGAGGATACATGAAACATTTGATTGCTGCAAAAGTGCTTTAAAATTTGGTTCAATGGTGCTTATCCATGAAACAGTTACATATGGGGTCCCCTGGACGGCTGGATGGAATCTTTAGTTTGTATGTAATTACATACTGAAGGAGGAGGTGCTTTTAAGCCAGTCTGTTATTTTTCAAATCATCTCAAATATGCAGCCATCCATCCAGTAACATTAAGGGTCA